CAAGTCATGGAAACCAGTGTAAGGAGTTAGAGTTTCTTCTAACTGAGTTGGGGAGGCCCTGGATGTTTTATTAGCAGGGCAAGTGCATTATTGGATTATGTATGTAAGAAGATTATTCTAGTTTCCCTGAGGAGCACGGATGGTGAATGTGCATGAGTGAGAACAGAAAGTTTGGAAGCTCTCATCATGCCGGAGAGAGAGAGATGTTGCTGATTTGGACCAATAGCAGTTTAGATGGAGAAATGGGTAGATTCTACTGGATTTAAAACAGAGGTGCAGGAAATCAGACTTTCCTCCTATAGACAGATTTCAAGTGATCCTCTAAGACTCAATCTGAAGTGATCACTGTGAAGCTTCATGTGGTTGCCTGCTTCCATTATACTTCCTCTGGTTGTTGCTAGTGGCACTTCAACCTCAGATTGTACCCCAAATCTTTCATGTGCCCAAGAGGTTGTGTGACCTTAGACAGACAATCTAATCTGTCTGGGTCATCAGTTGTCTGTAAACGGAAAAACTGGACTTGCTGTATGATTTGTACATTTGCTAAGTTTGACTGTGTCTGATGCTGGGCAGACGTTGAATCATGTTACAGGAAACACAAGTGTGAAGGTGGAGGTGTTTACAGGATGCCTGAAACATGTGCGGACAGTGAATATGAGAACTTATGGGTACTGGGGATGGAGATGGTGATTTAGTGAGAGTGAGGAACATATCAAAGATAGTGTAAGAGACTATTTTAGAGGATGATTTTATATTAAAGTGTGATATGTGAGAAGAAAAACATTGATGAGGAAGACAGGCACAATTTTCCACCACTGGCATGGCAGGAAAACTGACCAAAGAGATGTGATGCCCAATCAAAGCAGACACTGGCTATAAAAGTTGGTGCCTTTTTTTATCCTGGTTGAATATCAGACTTGAAGTTAATATCTGGGAAAGGTGGAGAAAAGATTCTAGCTGCTTCTATAGTTATAAGGAACTAATATATTCAGATTTTCCTTAAATTGTCTATGTAGCCATTAAATGCTTTAGACGTGATTATAGGGATGACCTCCTTTTGATACTGTTTTTCAAATGCCATCAAAGACTGAGGAGATTTTGTGATTAGAGATTTGAGGTTCTATAGGATCCATAGTAATTGTGAAGGAATTGATTACATGCCCTATCTGATTCCTGTAGTTGAAAATGTTCAAATAGCAGATTAAGAGTTACTAAATGGTTTTCCAGATGGAAAGTTTAAGCATTGGGTATGTCTGCATGCTTAGTCACTCAATCATGTCCAACTCTTTGAGACCCCATGGACTGTAGCCCACCAGGCTCCCTCATCTGTGGAATTTCCCAGGCGAGAATACTGGAGTAGGTTGCAATTTCATCCTCCAAGCATTGGGTATGTGGACACTTAAGTCAGGCTTCTTACCACCATGTTTAATAATAAAAAGGTGAACTAGGCAATTTATAGATTAAAATTGATAAAATGAATAATTAAGAGTGTCCAGCAGAGGATTCCCTTGTCTTTACACTGTCTCAATTTATTGTTTGTAGATTTTTTTGATGATGGTTCTTTCCCCTCTGTGATACCCTAGATGGGTGAGACGGTGGGTGGGGGACAGGTGGGTGGGCAAGAGGTTCAGGAAGGAAAGGATATATAGATACATATACATATAGACATACATAGAGCTGATTCACTTTGTTGCATGGCAGAAACTAACAGAACATTGTAAAGCAGTTATATTCCAATTAAAAAAGTATCTAGTAGATAAGATAACTTGGGATCTCCAGTTACTCCCCTGATGTCAATAGCACACACCCTCAGCACTGTCACTCAAGAAAAACTTGAGTAGTCTTCCTCAGTTTAGTTCAGTTCAGTTGCTCAGTCATGTCCAACTCTTTGTGACCCCATGAACCGCAGCACGCNGTCATGTACAGATGTGAGAGTTGGACTATAGAGAAAACTGAGAGATGAAGAATTGATACTTTTGAATCGTGGTGTTCGAGAAGACTCTTGAGAGTCCCTTGGACAGCAGAAGATCCAACCAGTCCACCCTAAAGGAAATCAGTCCTGAATATTCACTGGAAGGACCGATGCTGAAGCTGAAACTCCAACACTTTGGCCACCTGATGTGAAGAACTGACTCATTGGAAAAGACCTTGATGCTGGGAAAGATTGAAGGCAGGCGGAAAAGGGGATGACAGAGGATGAGATGGTTGGATGGCATCACCGATTCGATGGACATGAGTCTGAGTAAACTTTGGGAGTTCATGATGGACAAGGAGGCCTGGCATGCTTTGTGGCCCATGGGGCCACAAAGAGTCAGACATGACTGAGCGACTGAACTGAACTGAGTGAAAGTGAAAGTTGCCAAGTTGTGTCCCCACTCTTTGCAACCCCATGGACTGTAGCCCACGGGGCTCCTTTGTCCACAGAATTTTCCAGGCAAGGATACTGGAGTGGGTATTCTTTTCCAGGGGATCTTCCCAACCCAGGACTCAGCCTTTGTCTTCTGCATTGCAGGCAGATTCTTTACCGTCTGGGCCACCAGATGTGCTGATCTTCAAAATATCTGCTTGTGATTAGTTGGGATTCTTGAATCTGTGAACTATGAGTGCATTCTGAATAGTTTTTCTAGCCTGATTTTCCAATTCCTCGATTCTCTTTAACCATTTAATATACTTTTAACCTACCTGCTGAGATTTTTTTTTTTCCAATTCTAGTTAGTTATCTTTCAAATTAGCTGACTTTTTTCTTTGAAGTTTCCTGTGCTCTATAGATACTCCTACAAATTTGTCTTTTATTTCCTTAGACATAGAATGCTCAATTGTTTTATTTGGGGGAATCTTTTAATTTAAATATATAATTGTGTATTTATGGTATGTTTGTCATTATAACTAAGTATTATTTGTAGATATGATTTGAGTCCTGGGATGTAAATCTTTGCTTTCTGGAATAGTTTGTGTTTTTACTTTCAAAAGCTTAGGTATAATAGTAATCCCAGTCACCTTAAACAAAGTTCAATTATTGAGATTTTTCTGGACCTTTGGAGTGATTTGAAGGTGGGGCATAATCTGGGTAAAAGCTGGCTTACTTCTGCTTTACCTGTATTCCAAGAATGCAAACATTGCGGATTTCACCTTACCAAGGAGAAATCTGATAAAATGTCTTTTACCAGATTTCTCACTTTCAGACTCCGGGAGTTGAGACATGAAAGCAAAAATATAAATCTGAGAGAACAGCATAAACTCTCAAAGTAAAAGCAAGTTCTAACCTTTGCTTCTGTCTTTGGATTCTGTTCTTTAAGTTTAATCTAGTAATTTCTTCTTTACTTTCACCATTTAATCTTTTGAACTAATAATTTTAGGCATTTCATTCAGCATTTTTGATTATTTTGGTGTGGGAGTTAGTTTGAACAATCTGGACTGCCATAGCTGAAAACTAGAACACTTGTGTATATTTTCACAATCTAATCCTCAAGTCAAAAATCTATTCCTTAACAATATGAGAGATAGAAAGCCTAGAGATATTAAAAAAAAATAAGTAACAGTGGTAAATCTTAAATAAAATTGACACACTAGTGTAAGCAGAGTTGTGGCAAGTGAATTCTGCATAATGCTAGTCCTGTTAAAAAGTGGAACAGTTCTTTCCAAAAGCAACATGGCCATGTAGAGTGTCATTAGAGTCTTTAAAGATTTTTTACCACATGTTGAAATATTTACATGAAATCAAAACACTGGAAATAACCCCAACCAGTCAACATGAGTGGAATGCTTTAACAAGTTATTCTAGATTGACATTAAGACTTTTGTATAGGCATTAAAAAGGATAATTATTATGACTATGTAAAAAATAGAACATTTATAATATAATATTAAATGCCAATAGGAGAACATTAAGTAATATGTTTGCTATATAAAATAAGTTTATATCTGGAAGGTAAAGAGCAAAAAATGCACAAATAGTATATCTATTTCACTGTAATATGAGCAAAAGGTAATTTTTTTCCTTAAAAATTCTTTGTTCTTGTTACATAGTTTTCTCAAGAATAAAACCAGGAATTTCAAAATTTAAACTAGCAACTGTCATGTTAATAATTTTTTCCAAACAATTTCAGTATGAAATTTCATCATATTAAAAAGAAAGAAGAAAAAAGGAAAAAAGAAAGCAGAGAGTTGTTTGACTTATAACTCAGAATCTGCAACTGGTCCAAAACCATTTCAGCTTCTTTCTTCTGTGATCCCCTGTGTAGCTCACAAAAACAACTTTGGCTTCCTATAAGCTTCAAATTTGTTTTTAAAAATGAGAAAGTAAATAGAAAATCTGGATCATTATCTTTATCATCAGACTTTGATTCAGTTCTCAATGGATGAGGTTCAGAGAAGACATGTTTCTATCATTTGAAAATAATTTTCATTTGTTCTTTCACTCTCTTAGAGTGTATAGGGTAAATATATATTTATACATAACCGTTCGTTTTTAGTTCAAGCTGATTCGTGCTTTAAAAAGCTTTTTCCCCTAAACTATGTCTTTCCCCGAATTTTTCATTGTTTGACTAAAGTTCTAATCCTCCTTCAATTTTAATTTTCAAAGTCACTGTCTTGGAGTGGCATTATCTGAATTCTTCAGCCAAAATTAGGACCCATGTACTTATATTTGAATAGTACTCCATTTCTAGCATAAACTATGGTGCATGACTACATATTTATTTGTCATCTGTCTCCAATATGAAATCTGCCAAGAGGCAGGAACCACTTCTGCTTAATTTATGCTATGTAAATGTATTATTTAACATATTAAATATTATGTACTCATGTATGATAAACAAATCTCTGGTTAGGTTTTTTCCTAATTCACAGTTCTACCTTCATATTCTATATTTTGGTTGTGAAGTTCTTTCATTTTGTTGCAATGATGGTGACTTTATGAAGAGAAAAGATGACTTTTGTGTTCAAATATAATGATTAGAGCAACAAAATCATAAAATTTTGCTTTCTTTTTTTTTGCCCAGGAGAATTCAATGATTCTGCTGCATCTGAGATGTTCATATTTCACAACGGAGGTGTACAAATTTTATGCAAATACCCTGATACTGTTCGACAATTTAAAATGCAGTTGCTGAAAGGGAATAACGTACTCTGTGATCTCACTAAGATTAAGGGAAGTGAAGACACGGAATCCATCAGGAATCTGAATGCCTGTAAATTTCAGTTATCCAATAATAGTGTCTCTTTTTTTCTATATAATTTGGACAGTTCTTATGCCAACTATTACATCTGCAAATTGTCGATTTTTGATCCTCCTCCTTTTCAAGTAGACATTCTAAGCAGAGAATATTTGAATATTTATGGTAAGATATTGTTTTCATCTTCTAGACTTGAGTATATATGCATTTTAACATTTCTCTCACTAATGAAAACAGTTAAACAAACAAGTATCATATAAACTGCTGAGTTGGAAATAGGTTATATTGTCTTTGAAACAGACATGCTGTTGAAAATCAGGGAAAAAATTAGAACAAATGTCAAAACCCATGGCTTAAGAACTATTACCTCTATTCACCTGAAGTTTAAGGTTTGGGTTTTTTGTTGGGATATGTGGAATTAAGTGAGATGATTGAAAACTATAGTTTTCTACATTACTTTTCTTACTGTTTTGCAAGAACATAGACAGCAAAGTCTTTTCCATTAACCACATTTGTAGACATATATGTGCATAGGGCCTTTTTGTTTTTATTTTTGGGTCCTTGCTATCATACTGAGATGATGTTATTTATTTACTACTTACTGCATTTCATGATTGTACTGAAGAAAAGCTTTATTTTATTAAATAGCTCTTTTAAATTTGGTAAATGAACTTATAATTCAGCAATGAAAGAGGAGATTTGATTCTGAGAGATTTTCCTTATCTAATCTTTTTTTTGCAACCCAGAATCACAGCTTTGTTGCCAGCTGAAGCTTTGGTTACCCATAGGATGTGCAGCTTTTGTCATAGTCTGCGTTTTTGGATGTGTCCTTATATGTTGGCTTACAAAAAAGGTGAGCAACATCGATCTTTTCTCGCACCAGCTTTACTGGGGAATATCAGTAGTTTTTTACTCATCAGAGTATGTATTGCTTTTGCCAGAATAATTTGATTAACAGATAGATAATTTCTTTTCTTTAAGATGTGCCTATTAATTAAACTACTAACTTGGAACAGAAGCTTATTTACTTTATAGCCACTTCATTCCAAGAAGAATTCAGTGGCTTCCAGAGAGATATGTCATTATTATTATTCCAAAATGCTAAGGGAATGCTAAGGGCCATGAAAAGACCAAAAGGGAAAAGGAAAAAGGAAAAAAGAAGGTTAAAAGATTTTTTTAAAAGATGCTTCCAACTTTAAAAAATATTATTCCATGTGGACTGCAAATTTGATTAGAAGTTTCCAAAGTCAGGCCAGATGAAACAGTTGTAAGCTTTCCTCAACTTGTCAATTAAGAAACAACCAGTGAGAAAGCCTTGGAAGATGCCATCAGTAGTTGAGAAAGAAACTGCCAACTTTTTTACATGGTGAGTTATTAGGACTCCTTGCTTTTAAAGAAAATCACTGAAAAGCTACGCAGAAAGATAAAAGAATGATAACAACAAAAATCTCTCTGTGCGGGAGAATATTCTTTTTAATCTATCACAAAATGGGTTCTCAAAGAAATTATACCATTCTGAGTATTATGCAAGGATGTTAGCACCTTCAAGTACATCCACAGTGTGATCATTGGCCATACAGTATGTATGTTTGTTTCCAGAAGGGAATTTGAAAAGAGAGACAAAGAAGGAAGAGGGTAAGATAAGTTCTGTGGTCTTAAGTCTACTGTGGAAGGAAAAGTAAAGGCATAAATGATAAAAGATATTAAGCGGAAAGACTTTTATTTAAAGTCATTTATATATGGTTCTCCTTGAAAGTGAAAGTCACTCAGTTATGTCCGACTCTTTGTGACCCCATGGACTACACAGTCCATGGAATTCTCCAGGCCAGAATACTGGAGTGGGTAGCCTTTCCCTTCTCCAGGGAATCTTCCTGACCCAGAAATCAAACTGGGGTCTCCTGCATTGCAGGCATATTTTTTACCANACTCTTTGTGACCCCATGGACTACACAGTCCATGGAATTCTCCAGGCCAGAATACTGGAGTGGGTAGCCTTTCCCTTCTCCAGGGAATCTTCCTGACCCAGAAATCAAACTGGGGTCTCCTGCATTGCAGGCATATTTTTTACCAACTGAGCTATCAGGGAAACCCAAAGTCAAGAGCCTAAGTCACGTTTAATACTTTGTCACATACTGCTTCAACAAAGAATAGAAATCAGTAACACACACACACACACAGAGGAATGGAGATGGGGAAGAAGAGAAGACAAACCATGTTTCTGACTTTTCTTGCAGAAATATCCCACCAGCGTGCATGACCCTAACAGTGAATACATGTTCATGGCAGCAGTGAACACTGCTAAAAAGCCAGCACCCACAGGTACAGTGACACATGGGGATTTGGGAAGGGAAGAGTGTTCTTTACATGAAGCCTATAATTTTAATTTTTTATTTTAAAAGAAGAGAAGATGTCTATAAGACAGAATTTTAGTATTTTCTGTAAAAAGCCAAAGTTTCATTTCCACTGAATTGATGCTTTGTCTCGTTTATTGAAAATGAACAATATGGTAGAGCTCAAAGTTTGCAATAGGAGCCAATTTGCAATAGAGGTTGGGTAAAACTCCATGGAAAATGTAGAATTGGTGCTCAATCTTGAAACATAAAGAAGAGTTTGGAAGGGGTATGTGTTTCCCTGTGGGCATGTATATGTGTGTGTTTATAAGAGGCAGAGGAAAGGAGAAGTTTTGTTGAATGGGCTTGGCACATAAAGAATTTTTAAAGAATTTATGCTATATTTCTGTTACAGATGTGACCCGTAATTTGGAACTCACTGGCACCCAGGCATGAACCACCTTGGCCAGTTCTCTACAACTTGAAGGGCAAGATTCTCTGTTTCCTGGACCACAGAGAGTCTGACTTGATTTGACTACATACATCTTCTGCAAGAGTTTTGTTCAGTCTGGACCAGTGACTATGTCAGTCAATAGGGATTTTAACAGACTGCCTTAGTTCTGTTGAGTTCTCTCAAAACAAATACCCTCTTGCAACTAGCTTTATAGAAAGCCCAGCTCAAGTGTGCTCAACAAACAGACCTCACTGGGATGGAATCCCTGTTTTCACATCTGCTTCTAGCAAAGCACCAGCCAGGAGAACAAACACATCTACAAAATTGTTTTAAACATGCCAGGGGTACCGAATCTGCAAAGCAAATGGGCAGCCAAGAGCCAGAGTCTATCTGCATTTCACTACAGACTACCTCTTCTTCCTGTAGGGATGACCATTCCCTTCATAATCAGGCAGTAGAGAAAGATGCTTGAAAACTGTAGTTATTTTATTTCTGAGGTATGGATGTGTAACTATAGCATACTAATACGTTTGTACACAGCACTCTTTTTCCAACTTCAAAACCCCAGTTGACCACTGCCCCAACAATTTAGATTCTTTCTTCTGCCCTCAATTTTCCTTTTAAAAATGCTTCTACCTAACTACTTGACAGGCTCATGGAGTTGGGAGCTACTGTCTACATTTTTTCCTTCTGCTGCTCAGTTACATATATATAGTTGCAGTCTAGTGAATATAACTTGCCTGTATTTTCCCTAAATAAGCATAATTTTTCCACTCCAGAGACACATCTTATTTTCCCAAATTTCCCCAAAATTTCCAGATGTTCTTATAATGTATTCTATGAAAAAGATTTACTTTGCCTTCATTTTACTTTCCAAATGGCTTACTTTGCTGACATGTTAACACCAGTGGAAGGAAGCATTGCTCAGAATCAAAACTGACTTTATTTTTTGACACTTTTCCCCACTAATTTTATGTTTTCACGGTGCTATTAATTACAAACCAGCCTATTTTTGGAGATCATGCTAAAATTTTGAACAAACGAAGAAAACCATCTTTCCTTGTCAAGCATTGTCCTGGAAGGTAAAGCCCATGATCCACTCGGCAAAAGGTTGCAGTTTTCAGAGGTCACTGCCAAGCTTCAGCCATGATGCCGCTGTTCTTTACAGGTTGCAGTGACCCCCATCAGCCTGGAGCAGCTATCCAGACCTGGATGGAATTCCCAGAATTGAGAGACTCTACTGAGCCAGGACAACCAGGTGCTTTTGCCCCCGGGGGCTGAGGCAGCCCTGGGAACCAGAGTCGGTCTGCCTGCCTTTTCTTCCAGGATCTGTGATGAGACACAGATGTGTCAGGAAAACATCTGTATGATCCCCTCTCCTAGTAACCACTTAGCCTGGAAACTGGCCCTGGCTCTTCAAGACAGTCTTCCTTTGCATTCAGTTTGGCTGTAGAGATTCTTAAGTACATGTAACATGTGATTAGTCTTAGCTGAAATATTTTCTGCACTTCCTGTCTGCATGCCCAAGGCTTCTGAAGCAGCCAATGTGTAGGTGACATTTTAAATTTAGGTAAAAAGGGATTACTTAGTAGTTTTAGAATGTGTAGTTGCCTGCTTATCGTTACTTTAAAAGTAAGATCTGATATGTCATTATGCATACTTATGTTATTTTAAGCATGTGTGATGCTGGATATGTACAGTACAGTACTGGATGTGTAATTTGAATCAAGTACAGTGTTCTACTGAGTTGGACAACCTGGCTGGCTTTGCAGAGGTGTCCCCAGAATTGTTTGTGGCTTTCTGCGCGGGGTGTCGAGTGGGGAGGACAGCCCTCAGGTGGTCCCCTTCTCCTGGTGGTCCGAGTTGTGCTTTGAAACACCTGCGTCCTTAGCCCTGTATGTTTCAAAGGGAATTATTAAAGGATACAATTTCTGTGAAATAAAAGCTGATTTTCAGTTCAGTTCAGCTCAGTCATGTCCTACTCTTTGTGACCCCATGAATCGCAGCACGCCAGGCCTCCCTGTCCATCACCAACTCCCGGAGTTGACTCAAACCCATGTCCATCGAGTCCGTGATGCCATCCAGTCATCTCATCCTCTGTCATCCCCTTCTCCTCCTGCCCCCAGTCCCTCCTAGCATCAGGGTCTTTTCCAATGAGTCAACTCTTCACATCAGGTGGCCAAAGTGTTGGAGTTTCAGTTTCAGCATCAGTCCTTCCAATGAACACCCAGGACTGATCTCCTTTAGGATGGACTGGTTGGATCTCCATGCAGTCCAAGGGACTCTCACGAGTCTTCTCCAACACCACAGTTCAAAAGCATCAATTTTTCGGTGCTCAGCTTTCTTCACAGTACAACTCTCACATCCATACATGACCCCTGGAAAAACCATAGCCTTGACTAGACGGACCTTTGTTGGCAAAGTAATGTCTCTGCTTTTTAATATGCTATCTAGGTTGGTCATAACTTTCCTTCCAAGGAGTAAGCATCTTTTAATTTCATGACTGTAATCACCATCTGCAGTGATTTTGGAGCCCAAGGAAATAAATAATCTTATAGCTGTATGTAAATAGACTGAAGGCAGATGAAAGATGATAACCAAGAAGAGAGATAATGGCTGAGGAAACAGTCAAGAAGGAGAAATAATGTCATAGATATGTAGCTTGATAGATCTATTGAGGGTGAAAGAAGCGCAGTTAATTAAAAAAATGCAGTTGTTTAGCTTTGGAAGTTTAGAGCAGAGGTTGGCAAACTTTTTCTATAAAGGACAAAATTCATATTTTTGGCTGCTTGGGCCATACAGACTTCATGGCCATTTTCAACCCTCCATAGTTATCATGAAAGCATCTACACACAATACATATTAATAAATGAACAATCAAGGCTGTATTCCAGTAAAGCTTTATTCACTAAGACATTCAGCCTGTGGGCTGCGGTTTACTGATCCCTGGCTTAGAAGACTGTGGCACCAGTGCTGATATTAATTAAGCTGTCACCTCTGAGCTATAAACTTGTCCTCTTGGGATGCTGGGCCTGGGACTCTGCAAATCACAGTTCTGCTTTCTCTCTGCTCCCTGTGAGATCCGGAGCAGGGAAGGCACATGCCCCTTTGTATTTTAATTGCTGTTCCCATCAGGGTCATTACAATGGCTCTTTACCCTGGAAACTGCAGTGGGTTCTGATTTCCAGTTTCTTCCCATGCTTCCAGAACCAGCCTCTAATAGAGCTGCCTTAGGGATGTGAGCACCAGCCACCTAGCACCCCCTCCACTGGGATTTGAGTCTTGTCATCCTGAGGATCTTCCCCTGAGCTCCTGAACCATCAGTGCCAGACAGGCAGAGACCTCTTCTCAGATCCAAGATTCTAGGTTCTAATAACCCTAACTTTCCCCCTCTGTTCCAACAGCCCTACAAATGGTAGCTGCTTTCTGGACTTACTATCTTGAGTTACCTCAGAATCCCCTTTTACTCTGCCTTTTCAATCCTCCAAAGTCTATTTAAATTATTTCCTGTATTAAATTTTCTCTGTTGGAATAATTGGTGTGGTTTTCTGTTTCCCTCGCTGAATGCTGATCCACGCAGAACTATATTCTGTATGTGCTCATTTGCTAAGTCATGTCCTACTCTTTGCAACCCATGGACTGTAGCCCACCAGTCTCAGACTCTGTCCATGGGATTTCCTAGGCAAGAATACTGGAGTGGTTGCTGGTTTCTTCTCCAGTATTTTGTACAGAATAGGGGTATATGGGAGGATATAGATAGGAAATATGAGCATTGTACTCTTGAAGGAGCATACACTAAGTCTACTCATAGAAATGGTGAGTTTGGGGTGTTGACAAATGAATCACTTCCAGATTTCTAGTTGGCAACTGGATATTGAAGAAAGAATATATTATTCACATGAAGGTGCTGTTCATATGAGTAGAGATCAACAACTAGGTAAGTATGGCTAGAGTAGAAAAGAGAGAGAAATGGGAACCATCTTTGTTTTTGAGACAGATAATGAAGAGAAAGAAAAAAAAAATCAGAAATGATTATGTCAGAGGCAGAAGGAAAAGTTGCAGAATGTGAGAAGCCAAGAGTGAGTTTTAGGAAGGTGGTCAATCTGAGCAAATCTTGTAAATATCAAGGGAGCTGATGACTTCCCAATGGGTCATTTTCATAGAGTAGTAAAGGTAGAATTGGAAGTGTTGGTAAGAGAAATGAAGCCAGTATGAACTATCTTTTATTTCTTTTTTAAGTGAAGCCATTTGATGATGAAAGGAAGATAGATGATTATATACAGATCTACAAGCCCAAATAAATAAAAATTAAGTAATTAAGTTAACTTTTGGCAGAAAAGTTATCAGAGGTGAGGGGCAATGGGACACGCATAGGGTAAAAGGATAACACATGTAATATATGAGTGGATTACATGACTGGTAAAAGGGGGTGAGGATAGACGGATAGAGAATCCAACTGATATATAGAGGAAAAGCACCTTTTTCTCTGAGATCCAGACAAATTTCATGTGGGGAGGACAGAAGTTGAACTTGGTTTGAAAACTGAAACTTTCCTAATTCCTTGTTCCTATGTTACACAATAATGAGATCAGACATATTTTCCTACTCCTATGCTAGACAGTATTCAGACCAAGCAGTAATAATAGTTACTTATTTAGGGAGTGTGATTAGGGAATATGATGAAACTGTGGACCACTCTGACTAGATCCCTCTTTAAGACTTCTACCCTAGCTGCTAGGTATGCTATTGGCTGAATGTCTTTTCTGTCATTCCTGTCCAAGATCACCTCAGCCGCAGTTGAGCACTAATTCCTTGGTCAAAGCTGCCTTGACCATAACTTCCTTCCAGGGGTAGTCTATATCCAGTGACATGGCCCAGTAAAGGACATTTCTGATGAGTCATTTTACATATGTAGAACTCACTATGGAGGATTTTCTGAGATTATGGAGACTGTATCACAGGTTGACTTCCCTCCTGGCCATTCTGGCTTGCCCCCACCCCCACCTCTATTGCACAGGTTGATCTCAAGGACACACCCTAATGACCATCTGAAATACTAAACTGCCCCGGGATCTGCCTTATGGAGAACCCAACCTCTAATGTCAGCTCTATAAATTACTTCTAACAGCTTGTCATCAAGACTATTTTAACAACCTTGCCTACTCTGCCTACTGAATCAACTTATTTTGTCATAAACTTTGCCCAGTCCCAACCAGTTTCTTGCCTTGGAAGACCTACCTTAAAGTCATCTAGTCTGGGCCCTAAAACACTGTGGATAACCTGTCTCAGTTTTCTATTTTGAGACTCACAAAGTGGTGTCCTGCCTTACTTCAATATAGTTAGTAGACTGAGCTTTGCTTGATTAATAGGTTTTCCTGGTGATCTTCTAGAGAACTGATAGCTGAGAATTTTCATCAGGTATCATTATTCTTCCCTAGATTTAGAAAGTCTGGTAGCTTCAGAGGAAGAGGAAAAGCTTAGAAAAGGTACCTTGGCCAATTTAATAAGAAATCAACTCTGAGAAGTTTGTTTTATATCTTGACTTGGGATTTTGCAAGGAAGGATGATCTCCTAAGGGGTGACAGTGGTTCCAGAAACTTGGGATCAGATAATATGGTGTAGGACAGCCAGAGTTGGCAGCTGATATATTCATCTTGTAATTGGTATTCCCAGGAGTCCTATGGAGCAGTTTGGGCTCTGGTGGAAGTGGAGTCACTGATATCTTCTTTGACTTGGCAGTCAAGTGCTTCCTTGGGTTTGAGATGGCCCTCTTTGATTCTGAGCATTCTCATCTCTCCTTTCCTCCCAGGCTTCTCTTCTCAACTTCTCTTCTGTTTGTAGACTCAGGAAGGAAAGTTTGTAGCCACAGAAAGCTTTTCTTTCTTCCTTGTGTAAAACTTATTGTAGGAATTTGGGAGCATATAGACAAATACATTAATTTCCCTTGAAATAATCCTAGAGATATTACAAGGCCATTTATTATGTTAAGATGAACTTTGATGAACTCAAATACGATATGATCTTGAGAAGAAGGGTAATCTATTCTCCTGTCTTCTCTATTCCTAAAATATTCAAAGGTGGATGTTTCCTATATAGTTATTTTTCATTAGTTCTCACTAGACTGTCTTTCTTATTTGTTGAAATTTAAACTAACTTCTTCCTTCCATTAAGGAAAATGGCTCATTCAGTAACTATTACTGAACACCTCTAGGACAAGTCCACTAATCCTCTCATGAGGATTATATCCTTGAAGAAGGTTAGTAAACGTTGTCTCCACCTTCTCTTCTTTAGGCCAAGTGGACCAAATTTTTTGCTTTATCCAATTTCCAAGAGACATTTCAATTTCCTTTCTTGAATGCATTATTGGTGAAGGTAGGGGCAGGGAATTAATTATGCCAAGTTCAACCCACAAAAGATCTTTACCGCAAATTACCAGCTTCTAAGTCTTGAAACTTTTGAAGTTTAGGCTTATTTGAAGTCATTTGGGTTTTCCCCTCCTTTCATTATCTTTATTATCAACAGCAATCTCTGGTGCCCGGAGGCACTGAATATTACAATTTCAAGTACCACACCCAACTCACTTGAAAAGCACCTTGAGCCATGGCTGGCTGTGGATGACATCTGGGAGCCATATTTACTTAGAGGCATAACAAACATAGGACACCAAGCTTAGAGAGAAATTGAGACTGAGTTCTGGTGTCTATAACCAAGAAACTTTGCCACCCCAACAGAGAACAAAATATAAGCTCTTGCTAAGCACTTTTTCCATGGTATAATTTGCTTTTCTAAAGAAGTGGTACTTAGTGTTGCTGTAGAACGAATTAACATAAGAATCTCTAAAAAAGACAAACTTGAATTCAAAAAATGACACTTAAAAATACATTGGGACATACTTTTTAATTACATGCTTGAAAGAACGTTTATAATGTGATTATAGAATTTTCACCAATAATTTGTCTA